TCCCGCTAGGCTCCTTGGATGGGGACTCCGAGATCACGGTAACCGGTGATTGGAGACACTGAGTGATATGGCTGGGTGTCGCCAATAGTGGCGCTCATGCAAGTACTCATTACCTTTGTAATCTCAAATTATATGAATTGGTTATCTTCTCGTTGACTCTACTTGCAACCTTCCATTTTACCGTCCAGCTTTTTATTCCAAAGGGCAGTGAAAAGACAGCGAAAAGAACGGCGCATGAAAATGCACGGTTAATGTTTGTAAAAAACGGGAACGGAAACATCACGAAAATGCATTCACACAACGAGAATGAATCAGGCTTTTCAGATAAATTATGTCAAAAAATAGTCTGTCACAGATTACGTACGAATAACTTCGAGCAAGAGAATATGCGCATCATTGATGCCACGAGGCCATCCCATTAACCCGAAGGTCACATGCACAAATCCACTTGCCGTTGCCTCTTAACCTCACCGATTATTTTTGTCGTCCTGCTAATGATCGAAGCTAGTAGGTAAATAAAATGGTACAAATCCAGTGGAAATCATAACTTCGAAGCAGCTTTTAAGCCTATAGATCAGCTATTGACATCCGCGACTTTGAGCAAAGCGCGGATTGATTTCTTAGCATGTTTGCCCGTCCCTCGCATCGACGAAAATACTGTCTGATGCACCCCGTAATGACGATTGTTTGATTTGCTCCCCCCCTCCGCCACACACATTCTCACTAACCGCTTGGCTACCACCGCCCGAGAAATGTATACAAAAATAAAACCGGAGATGTTGGGTGCATAAACCTCACAATTGCTCATCACTTGGGTGGTGGTGGTCAAGTGGTTAGGTCACTAACTTGTGACCTGGGAATCCCGGGATGGAACAGCTCCACCGCCGCCCATCTTCCCTATTTCTGTATTTTCCCAGGCAATCTTTGTATGACCGCGGCTCCCTTCCTGAATGTTAACTGTACATTTGTATATTCAATGAATAAAACGGAAGTAAAAAGACATTACTATTATTACATTACGTACAGTTGCCGACAAAATGATGAATACCGAAGCGTATTCTGGCCCTGGGATCAGGTGATCTCGGTCCTGTTGTATGCAGTACTGGGAGTAAATAAGTGTCAAAAGGCGTCACAGATACTACGATAGAAACGGAGAAAAGCATAAAAACTGTGAATAAGCAAAGTGATCTTTTTTGGCAGGGGGTAACACATATAGCCTACTTCAGAAAAGCTAAAACCGATAACAACTAAATCCTAAAGTACCTACGGAAACGGAAGCAAAGTAAGCGATAACTCCCGTGGATTGCTATCTACTCAAACTGATTCCCTTGTTGAATCAATAATCAAATGAAAGCCAGGCACATACCGCTCGATTTCTTCCTTGCATCGGACCAAACCGTGTGCAGATGGGAGTAGAACACGCGAAGTGGCACTGCCAAAATCACACAGGACGAAATTCTGTCGTTCATCAATCAGCACATTTTCAACCTGTGTAGGAGAACAGGGGATTTCGTGGGCAGATGAGAAGCAAGGGGAGTGGGGGGGCAGGGGCAGTTTACAGTCATGATACGCTAAAAGAACAGCTGTTCTACGGTGGATTCGCCATGCTATCACTCGCTGGTCCAACGGAAATACGTCAAACAAACACATGTGATATCGGAGAATAAGTGCCTGTCAAACCGAACTGAAAACATCCCAAGCTCTGGCAGTATTGCAAGAAATGACAGAAGCTATGTTACGCTCCATGGTTCCAACAAGACATTTTTAACAGGATGAAAGATGGGCAGTTGGTAAAGGACAGGAAAAGAGTACACAGTTGACCGGTTGTTCGACTTGTCCTTTTCAGTTATTGATTTTTAGCTCTCCCTTCAAGTTCCTTGAGGCACGTAACCGAATTATTCCATATAGATTATTTGGTACTCTCTCCATGCTTGAACAATCCCACATTGAAATAGGTAAAACGGACAAAAAGGTTTGAATCACTTCAAAATCCGACTAGAGAAAATTGAACACAAATCGTTTGCTACTGCGGCAGTGCCTTGGGGGTATACGTGTTGAAAGGCAGTAAATGGTGATAATAATAATAATATTTTTACTTCGAGTTCGCTCAGTTAGACAGCCGATTTTCAGGATGGCGCAACGGCCAATTAAAGGCTGCTTGAGGAATTATAAAAGTGAAGAAGATGGACAGCGTAGAAGGGATCAAAACATACAACGCCCGATATGATCATCTTAACCACTAAACTAACGTAATTATGGAGGGGACTAACGCAGAAATCTCTCGCCGCAAGGTCTCCTCTATCATCGCCTCGAGTAGGAAATGAAAACGTTTCCGAACAAACCTAATATCATTGTGAATCCAAAAGGTCGCTACGCTGCAAGTCCTGATGACATCATTCCATGTTTCTTAGGTAAAGATGCTGTACGGCATGCGACAACTACGACTAATTCCATGGATGAATCTGTCGTCCCGAAGCCCAGTAGACATCACGACGAGACTGCATCTTGACGCAGTGTGATGGCTTGCGTGCCTCCATGACCCTGCGAGCTACACAGGATGGCTTTTCACAGCCATAGATCCAGTCATGCCTGAAAGGTCAAGGGGTACAGGCCAGACGAAGCTCAGTCTCACAAGCCAACTGC